CAGTTCCCCAGCAACAGGCAGCAAAATACCAGGATTTAAACAGTGCAGCCTTGGACGCTGATGTTTACTAAGCCAAGGAGATCTGCACTGTATTTGACCAAACGTGTTTGAAAGGACCCGAATCCTCCCGTCTGCCACTGTCACGCTTTGAGAGCGACACATGAGTGGATTTGACGCATCAAACATGTTAACTGTGTGGCTGCTAGGTGCACATTTATGTTAGCACTGTTTCTACTGAGATGTTTCTATTTCAGTTTGACGTTTTGTTTTCACTTCTGGTAGTTTTCAGTTTGTTTCAAAATTACGTTGCCCATTTGCCACGACTAAGGGCATTCCCCGTAATTACATGAAATTTTAGTGTTGAATAAAATTCCTTAAAGTATCCACACTGGAATAAGAGGGTAACACGTCCGATTTTTGCAGAAAATAATGATTATTCAGTCAATAAATTTAACTAGTGAGTAATGTGCAAGTTTTATTGCTAATTTGGAGAAAATCCAATAATATTTCCTGATCTTATATCGTAAAAGTGTCATACTTTTTGGTGCTTCGTTTTGTAAAATCTTAATTATCTAAAGGTCTTTTATTTTTATCTATATAAATCAGGACTATTTGATATTTAAATTTAGTTTGTGTTTTTTTATTATTACTGTATGGAGGTCACCCATTTAGACAAGATTGATTAAACTCAGTACAGGTATTACAATAAAAAACACATCAGATCACAGCTTGATGCCCCTATGTGGCAACAGGTAGGCAGTAAAAATGAAGTCTAAGGTTAGGTTTTCCACTGATCCATGATTACAGATTAGTAATAAAACAAGATTTTTTTCTCACCACTTATCCTGACGCCCTGACAGAGGAAACATAGCCGCCACTGACCTTTGAAGGACCTGGAAACTTACAATTTGTCTTCACAGTAGGAAATAGCTTGTGTGAAAAGCGTAAGTTATAAACTATCAGGTGTGTGCGCTGTTGGTGCGGCTGCACGTCTCTCCTGGGCCTCTCCTCCAGCCTCGCCGTGCTTGCCGTCAGCAGTGTTGATCACATGGAGATAGAATAAGATCATATGGAGCTTTTTCACTAAGTGAAGTCAACTTGACAAAGATATGTAGCAGAATCTTAAAGTTTTCCATTGCAGGCAGCAAAGAAACACTGACCCATAGTTCTTACTGTGCTATACAGCTGGTATCAGGTCATCCAAGAAAGCTTTGATCTATGTTGAATGACTCTGCTGCCTTTGTCTCTGTGCATGCAATTTAATTCCAAAAAGATGCCTGCTCTTTGCGTAAGTGTTCAGTTTTTTCCTGGCATACTTGTCTCTCATTGGAAATATATTTAACACACACACACAAAAAAAACTATCTACAGATCAAGAAATTAAAAAAATATCTGTGGGCTGCCCTGAGGTCACAATCCAGGACAAGCAGGCAGTCAATTCAAATCCACTTTTGGATGATTTTCTTTTAATGGGATGATTTATTTGAAATCATCTGCATCCCCTTACCAGACTCTGAGGCATCCACAACCTCTTTAGATGTTGGTGATGAGCGTGAGGCAGTTCAATGACACCCGTCAGGGTTCTACTTAGCACCCAACACTACAGTAAGAGATCCATCTCCTGTTTTGGTCTCTGTGCTCCTGCGTGTTTGCTCCTCCTCTACTTTCTGTGTGGTTTGCAGTGTTTGACTGGGCTCTTCTTCTTTTCCGTCAGAAAGTTGCTCAATGTATTCCAGCTCTAAATCTGCAATCTGTATTGTGATAGCCAAGCTACTTAAATACAACTAACCCAGCAGTTATGAGGCCAGAGCTACTGATGCTAATGATAAACAATTTGTCATGCATTTCAGAATTCCAGTTTATGACTGAATAAGAGGACGGAGGGCTGTTTAATTACATCACTGTTACTGTTTCTCTGTGCCTCTAATCACTTTTTTTTTTACTATAATTAATACTAATGCTTCACCCACTGAGGAGCTCCCAGGAAACTGATTTTTTTTTAAAGTCAGAAGAGGTTTAAATAATTGGCTAAAAAGCCGGCTGTGAAACTTGACAATCCTTCAGCAATAATGGAAAGAGCATTTTAATAACCACATGTTTTAATATCCCTCAGGTTCCTAAAATGGCTTTATGGAACCTTGCTAATTGTTTTTCTTTGCTGAACTAGATGAAGTCTGGTTTTAACATTTAGTCCCAGACAGCGACTCGACCCAGACGCGTGTGCACTGCATCTTTATTTAACCCCTAAACGTCTGGTGTGTCCTATGAGTTTTTGAGACTTGTATATCATCAGTGCGATGAACCTACATATGCTGCACAGTACATTTTTAAGCAGTAATATTATAATAATAATTAATAATATAATTTTTTAGATTGTCAGAGCATTCAATAAACACTCAATTTTCATGGTTTGGGGCTTTAAAGGTTTAAGTCTATGCACGCGCATATGTATATTTTATTTTGTTTATATCCGTTTTTGCCTTTTGGCATACTGCAAATGAGTAGCCAGCAGACTTCCTGTTATGTTTTATAGGGACAGGGTGGGTCTGCTTTACTGATCTCCAGGGTAGCGGTGTGAAACAGACATAAACAGTCATTGTGTCAGTAAGGGCTGGGGCCAAAAGACCACAACAACAGCACCAGCAACAGTGTCGAGCTGGGATGGGTACGTAACCTCCTCCACTCCCCGGCCATGTCGCAGCAGTTAAATATAGGGCAGCGGGTTGATCAGATGATCTTTGCAGATGCAGCGCAGCAGGAGTATTTTCATCATTTCATTTCTACCAAGAAACATAACAGAGTGGGGTGAATGGAGGGGGACAAGTGATTTAAACAGGTCATTAAAATCCACACATTGCTACACACGTTACGACTGAGCAGTTTATGTCCATCTCACAGCTGAAGCATCGGTTGTGTTTAAATGCTCTTTCATCTCTGAGGAAGTTTCTATTTACTGATCGCAGTTACTCAAAAACTTTCTTCTTCCTCGCTGTGCTGAACCTTTGAACAGGCTGAGCAAATGATTGTGGATCCACATCAATATTCAGTGACGAAGCCACTGAGCAGGGAGACGTGTGAGCACCCGGTCAGCTGTACGTAACCTCAGGATGTCCATTTCAACCACAGTATGGACTTTATGAGAGGCACTCGCCTTTTTAAGGAGCCACAGTGTGTCTTTTGTCCTGGCTTCTGTTAGGTTTTGTATTGTTGATTGTCATTTATGCTTAGAAATATCTACTTATATATGCTTAGAGTTTTATAATTAGTTTTAGATTGGTAGAGGTTTGATCCTTAATAGTCTGCAAACTTTGTGTGCAGTCCAGAGCACTCTGGGAGCATGGGAGAGGTCGTACCTTCTCTTATTGTTTTATGGTAGGATAAACGTATAAGTGCCTTTTGTTTAGATGAACTGTTGGACTTCCAGACCAGCAGGTTTAGGGAAGTCATTTATGGGGTCACACTCTGACCCCACACACACACAAAGACAAGGTACTCTTTGTTTGTATGTGCACGTCGTATGTTAATGAACCTATGCATATTCATGTAACCTCAATAAAAGAGCAGAGTTACAGGGGAGCGGACGAGAGCAACTGGGGTCAAGCGAAGGAACGGCGTTTGTCCGGTTCTCTCCCGTGCACGAGAAACATGAAGAACTTTGCCTACTCGTGTCTTGTTTTGCTGTGTAGCAAATTATCCTTAACGTTCCAGCGAATAGGTTTAAGCTACAAACCTATCAGCTTCCTCCCCTCACCCCCAACCGGTCACCATAGATGGCTGCCGCACCCTGAGCCTGGTTCAGCTAGAGGTTTCACAAATGTTTCAGATCATCAAACAAATACGCGATCTGTGACTTGACCTTAAAAATTCAGTTCATGCTGGAAAACCCTCCAATGTGGCTGAATTACAACACGGTGCTGTAGAAGACTCGTTGTCAGTTATCGCGAACGTTTGATTGCACCCTTGCTTGCTGAGGCTGAGCCAACCAGTTATAAAGTTTAGGTTCATTTTTTTCCACACAGGACACTTTTTCCCCCCTTAATAATAAACATCTTCATTTAGAAGCTGCATTTTGTGCTTACTTGTGTTATCTTTGTCTAATATTTAAATTTGTTTGATGATCTGAAACATTTAATTGTGACAAACATAGAAAAATAGGAAATCATAAAGGGGGTAAACACTTTTTCACACCACTGTGTATATAGTCAAATCTTTTAACAACGTCGTGCTTCTGAGTAGAAAAAGTAGTTTTGAAAGCAGCATTTTTCAGTCTTCCTTCCTCCACTGTGTTTTTATTTTATTCTTCTTACTGCCTGCTGTCTAAAACAAAGACTTCTGAATGTCAGTGCATTACGTTCAGCATTGATGGTGCGTTCTCTTTCACAATACATGACTGTCTCTCTTTATAACTGAGTGGTGTTTGAGGACCTTTGCTATGTGTTACATTTGTTACAGTCTCAAACAGCAGAAACACAGCACTCAGAATACATTTAGGTTTCAAACTGCAAATTGTTAGGCGATCTGGTAAAATATGATTGTTGCCACACACTGATTGTATAAACAATGTTTTTAGTGTATCAGCGGTCTGGTTGTTGTCTGTCACATACACAAAACAAACCCCAGGGAGGCGCTTCTCACTGCTTGGCTGCAGTCCCTCGGAGGGCCTTACCGTCTTTGACATTTGAGCCACAGGGTGATGGAAGCTGTGTTAGAAAGACGCAGCAGAGAGCGCCCATCCAGACGGGACAACACACAGCTCAGCCCTCGACTCCTGCCAACAAATAATTCATACCGCTAACATTTACTTTGTTCAAACGCTGTCCGGCCTTTCTCCCCCGCCCTGTCTGTGAACCCCAAAGCACACGTCTGAGCTGAAAGAAATCTCTAAGGGAAGCACGCAGTTAAATACTGAAAGTTTATAGGAGCTTTTAGAGTTTTTATGCTGTGGGCGAGGAGAAGATCCACCACAGAGCTGATAATCTTTAAATAAAAATACAAAGACGTAGCTTGAAATCAGCTTTATAGTGAGTAAGTATACCTGAACGTATACCTGCCTTTCACAAGACAACATAACCCAGAGGTTTAGAGAGCTCCAGCAGTGAAGCCCCACCAGGAAGCACTGCATGTTGGCAGCCTTACAAAGAAGAAAGAGGACAGTGAAATTTCAAGGCTTCAATTCCCAGAAATGATGTAACGTTGCCCCAATAAAACTCGCTGCTTGGACCTGAATCTTATCTTTGAGGCTACAGGGCTGGAAACTAGAGTTCAAACGACAATGTGCAGAGCTCTGCACAAATTAAAAATCCAAACAAAGTCAATGAAAAGTCGTGAAGAACGAGTCAATCAAAAGGCTTCATTCTTTATCTTCTTCAGCGGTCTCGTCGAGGGTCGGAGGTCATGCGCTCCGTGGGCGAAGGCGCAGCTTTCAGCCTGCAGGGGGCAGCCCTGAGGGTGGTGAGCGTGAAACCAGCAGAGGCGAGTTTTCAGGGCACCCGGGGCGACGGGCTTCCTTTTAACATCCGCCCTGAAGGGCATCCTCTCCCGCCAGTCTCTTATGTAGACACGCCCTCCTTCAACTAAAGAGGAGTGACAAGAGGGAGACACAAAATCTATCAGACTCAAACGCTCCTCCCAAAAGATACAAATAAATATTTTCTTAAAAGAAAGAAATTAGGAGAAGAACACAACATAGATGCCTGGCTGTCAGGGCACCGGGGTAGAAAAAGTCATGTCTGCGCTGACCCCCACAGGTTATAAGCTTCTCACCTTTCGAGGGTCATGCACATTTTTATCTATTATCAGAAAGAAATGTCAACTTTGTTTCTATCTCAAGTCTGACTTTGCTTGCACTCTAAGCAATTTCTGTAGGGGAGGGGATCCAATTTTCTCAAACTGATCCCTCGAGACCAACCAAATTCCAAATGACGATGGTAAAAGCGCTCATTTCCCCTCTTTTTCAATCAACAAAAGCCCAGCGTGATGCCATGACGCCAAGCAAATTAACTCTTTGCATCGGATGATTCAGAGTTTTGGCACAAGTACGCTTAAATATGCTTTTATATCAGTGTTGTGGTTCTGGGGGGGAAGAAAAGGAAGGCATACTTCTCACCCTGCTGTCTGACACTTTTAACCAGGAACAGCAGCAAAACTCACTGCTTTACGGTCAACGACAGTACGACTGCCAGGACTGCATTTTAAAAAGTGTTTGTCCAGTTATTTTGAAAGAATTGTGGCTTGGATTGTTGTTTCCAAATTGTGGTTCTGAGCGTGAGACTTTTTCGTGAGTGAATAAAATTTGAAAAAAAGATGTTGTTGCCATGTTTATCTTTAAAAATAGTCCCTTTTAAAAGTCTTAAAAGCATACACTGTAGTTAAAAGATGTCAACATATGGGTAAAATTTTGCAACCTGGAACGAGGCCATCGCCACCTTATTGTTTTAAAGAAGTGCCCATATTTAGACCAAGAGGTGGAACTAATGCTAGCTAGCAAGCTAGTATGAAGAACTAGCTTACATGCATTATTCACTGTGATGTTAAATAGGATGCTCATTTTAGATCAAATAAAATGTTCGTAATGGAAAAACTGGACAGCTGACTCCTCTGAGGGCTTTTTGTACTGATGAACACTGAACGAGCAAGGTGTAAAAAAAATAAAGCATAAACTGTATTCTAATTAAGACATTCTTTTAAGGATCTATTAAAGAAGACTTGAAACCAGAATTTAAGAAGATAGACTTTTACTCAAGTCATAAATCAAACGAGAAGTAGAGTAACTTTGAAATATCCCCAGAATGTAGGGTTAAGGCCTCCATCTTTTATATACAGTCTATGATTTAAATTGTTGGGGAAAAAAATTCAAACAAAATCTTTTTTTTTAAAAAGAAGCTAATGGTTTTTTATTTAACACCCTTTCTGTTACTCATATAACCTCCAGTATCTCACTCACTGTCACTGGTTTCATTTAAGCACTATATTGTACTTAATGAACAGTCTAGTTCTCAACAATACAACTTTCAAATGAACCATCTATAAGAACGTAGAGAAAAGCTACCTCTAAATACTTGATGATTGTTCCTCAGAAGCGTCTGAAGACCTCCGCACTCTTTCTTCAGGAGCCGCAGGGTTTCCTGCCCCAACAGCCCCGCAACCTCGCTCACAGAAAGGCTGCCTGAAGGGCAGGGAAGAGGGACAAACAATGAAAGATGGGAGTTATACATGTGCAGGAAGAGGTCTATTGATTTTATAATCATCAATGCATTAACACAGTGCTTCAGCATGCACAGAGATCGTTTTTATCCAGCATTTCAGACAAAGAACCACTCGGCTTGAGTTGATGTTATCGGCTGTTCTATGACAAGAAAATGCGAGCAAAGCTATATATACACATAGTATATAAAGATCCGTTTACAGTAGAGAGTAGCTATCTGTCAGTGTTTGTCAGAGCTGTAAAGTATGCTCAGTTAAAGCCGTTCCAACAAGCTGTCAGGGCAGCTGGAACGCGTTTTGCCAGAGTAGCCATTTGAGAGCCTGAATCATTTTTGTCACCTCTCCACTGGGGCAGAGATTTTAGAAAGGAGAAAGAAGAATATGTACAGTTCTAACCTCTAGGATTAGCATAGTATAGATGACAAACCCCTTTGTATTCACACATACTTTCGCACTGTGGTTATAAAGATCTTTTGGCATTTCTGGCCTTGCCCTTTTTACACCTCAAGGGGATTCAATCTGAGCTGACCTTTAGTTTATACAAATGACAAACTTACTCCTTTCTCTGACGTATTGGAGGGAGAGACACACCACATGATTTCATAACTATATTCGACTTAAATCTGCATCTTCAGTGATATCTTCATCATGCTTCTGTGGTCACTCCCTGCAATCCCTGCTGGCTTAGAGATGATATGAATACTGAATATGAATGAAAAGCACCATCTGACCCTCTGATCCAAAACTCAGTTTTCAGAAAACTGTTCAGTTTCAAACTCTTCTGCTTGTCATGTCTCTGAACCTTGTCTTTCTGCCGTTGAAATTCATTGAAAAACATATTGTCCACCCAAATACATCCTAATTTTAGTTGGCCAAATTGCTGCGTTAATCCCTAAAATATGCGACACACTCCCACATTCACAGACACTAGCGCAGCCAAACCCAGTCGTATGCTGCAGAGTGTGAAACTGGGCAGACTCTCATCCCACAGCTCTGACGCCAGGGAGCTCCAGGCCTTGATATAATATCAATACACCGTTTAGAGCTGCCCTTTACTGCCTACAATGTTAATGGGGATTAATGGAATAGGGACAATATTGACAGAGTAGATTCAGCTTGGACTAAGACCAGGTGCAGATGAGTATTAATGGCTTGGCTTAAAGTACAGTTGGACTTGTTTGTTTGAAACGATGCCTGTTGTGTAGGATTGTTTTTGTTGTGCTGAAGGAAAAAAAAAAAAAAAAAAGAAAAGAAAAGAGCTCAGCTGTGATTTCCATCTTTGCAAAAACTGCAACTCTCACAAGGCGTGTAAAGATGACAGGACATATTTCTGAGGGATGACATACTTTTAGGGTAATATTTGTCTTGAGCAGAGGAGGGGTAGTGGCTGCCCAGGCAGGAGGAATAGAGGGAGGCCACAGAGAAGATTCATGAATGTAGAGAAGGAGGACATGCAGAGGGTTGGGGTGACAGAAGAGGTTGGAGGCTGGTGATTTGTTGTGGTGACCCCTAAATGGAGAAGCCAAAAGAAGAAGAAGAAATCTATATACTTCTGGGAGGAGGAATCATAGGGTTTGGAGACAATGTCAATGCTATTATTCTGCAAACCATTTAACTTGCGCATAAAATGGTCACTCAGACAAAACAACAAGAGAAGTCTCGCTTTTTTCCATCACATTTGAGATCTCTTAATCGGTCTCTCTGTACACGGCTGCCCCCTGTCTCTCTTTGCAACCTCACTGCTAGCTCACAGAGCAATAAACACAGCAGAGAGAGAGGAAAGGAGACAGGCTATTGCTGTGCCAGGAGAGCAAGATGTCCCTGCAATGCAAAGGAATAAGTACGCGAGCTTTTTGCTAGACCTTTAAAAAAAAAAAGGTGATGAAAAGTTGGTAAATGATCTGGCAAAGGTGCAAAGCTAGTAACAATCAGGTGAACTGAAACATGAACTTGCTATATCATGATGCCCCTGTGTTGCCTGGCAACCTAAAAAAAAAAAAAAAAGGCCTACTGGCATTTATATAGTAATGCAGGACACTGACATGTACTAGAACCAATAATTACATTATTATTACTAATAAAAGTTAATATGCATGCTTGCTGAATCCTCTTATAGTACCCAATAAATAATATTTACACTCATCTTCATATATCTATGGCTCGAGCATGTGGCTTACACATTTCCCTGCCAAGCGAAAGATCCCCCGGTTCAGTCTGGGAGGAAGTGCATCCAGCACATCCAGATCAAACGTGCGGAGCTACCTGCTGTGGTGACCCTTTGCGAATAAGGGAGCAGCTGAAAGCAACTTTAAAACTGGTCTTTATATGAATGACATTTTGGAGACAAAAGCGAAACAACCCAAAAAACTCAGTTTGGATTTTTTCAACCCAACAATCTGAAAAATATTTGGTTTAATCTGAAGAAAAGCAGAAAATGTTCCAGTGTGTAAAAGAGTGAAGTGAAGCGTTCACTCATCAAAAACATACCGCGCCCGCGCCCTTCCACGCAGGCTGCTTCTATTCAGTACAATAGCGTGTTTACTGTACCTCTGACATTTTACTGAGTTGACATTTAGTGTCGCTCGATGTACAGCTACGCACAGATTTTCATTCTCGGCGTGATTACATAACTCTGTGACTCAGCACTACAGCACACATGAATTAGTAACTTCCTTCATATTTACAGTGTCTCAGAAGAGCTGTGAGATATTTTTAGGTTTAATGCACAGGAAGCACAATATATGCAACTGATATAAGCAGCAGCAGAGACACTACTAAGATGTTTTAACTTGCTCAGTGCAAATCTTTTAAATAGAACTTGTCCCAAATGAAAAGGGAAAGAGTCTGATTGATGTTAAATAGGAATTTTCATTTCAAAGAATTACTATAAATCCCTGAGTATCAGTCTTATGATACAAACCCAACAATAGTTGGCCAAACAGGAAAAATACTGACTCTTATGCATAGTGAAAACCTGTTTGTTTCTGACAGTTTCAGAGCTTAATACGTATTATTTGTTTGTATTTACAGTAAAAAAGATAAAAAGAAAAGATAAAAGAACATCGTCTGACGTCGCACCAGAGCCATAAAGCCACAGAAACAAAATGATCATAAAATATCCGCTTAAGTGCCAAAAAGGGATCCATCACCATACTGAAAATGATTAGACTTTTTGAAGATGCATTAAAGAATAGACAGAAACTAAACTCCAAAGCACTTTAAATGACTCCGAGACCCATCTGGATTTATTTAACATGCGCTGGCTCCCTCTGAATTTAGCCTTTGTTCGTGCACAGCAGATAACTGGTAGGAATCCCTCAATACAAATGCATGCTCATGCATAAATCATAGATGGTGGTGCATTATTCATCCAGTCATCTCCATACAGAGTTACACTCTCCCTTTATTCACTCTCCCTAAAATTTTCTACCTTTAATTCCACCGACACCCCGACAAGAAACGTTCTGTTTTAATAATAGCAGGCTTCGTGCCCTTATCTCGTTCATAACGTGTGACTGTGTGTGAGTGTGTGTGTGTGTCAGCGGGGCTGCAGAGGTGTTGACAAAGGTGATTGCGTGGGTGCTGTGAAAGTAAATGTGTGTGCGTGTCTGTGGGTGTTTGATACGGGCTGTGTGGTACGCAGCTGGCGGAGGGTGTGGCAGAGTTCAAAGAGGCGTCGCTCTGAGTCATCAGGTCTCACCGGATGATGCTGAGGGGCAGGATTGTAATCAGCGAGGTGGGGGGTCAGATGGGATGATGGACGAAGAATGAAATTCAAAGTTCAGGCCGTAGGTGCTGCGGATGTAATGGTGTAGCTGGTGTGTTTTAAAAAGTGCTGACACTATATGTAACGATTGATTGTGACGGTGTCGTTTCAGAGGCATCGGGTTACATCTGCACCGCACCACACGAGGTAAAAAGCACTCACTATGTAACTGATCAAAGGCATAGACTGTGTACAAAAGATGGAAGTAGCCTCGGGGGTCTGAAAAGTGACCACAGTAGGAAAATGCATTCTTTGTAATGGACAGCAGAGGCATCAAAGCACAACAACAGTTGCCTCAAGGTGCTTTATATTATAAGGTAAATACTCTACAATAATAAAGACAAAACCTTAATCAGATGACCCCCTGTGAACAATGACCCCTGGTGACAGTGGGAAGGAAAAACTCCCTCTTAACAGGAAGAAACCCCCCAGCAGAACCAGGCTCAGGGAGGGGCAGCCATCTGTCGTGACTGGTTGGGGGTGAAGGGAGGGAGACGGGGAAAAAGGCACACTGTGGAAATCCAGAGTGGTGCATAAAAACAAAGAGTAAAAAAGGGTGAAAGAACAAGAAACACTCAACAAGCCCCTGGCAACCCAGCAGCGTAACTAAGGGAGCACTCAGGGTTACCTATTCTAACCTTAACTATAATCTTTATCAAAAAAGGAAAGTTGAGAGCGTGTCTGTCTCCCACATTCAAATGTTTGCACGCTCCAATAAATCACTGGACCCGTTTCTCATTTTCCCAGCAAAATATAAAGAAACGAGGTGTGGCTGAAGACTTTAGCAGAGTACTGTACACCAATGTGGTGAATACATTAGAGGCAACGAGATGTCCACTAATAGCCAACCATTAGCTTCGAAGCAAAGGGAGAGTAGTGAATCTGTCTCCTGTATATGTGGACAAGCCTTAAATAGTGTGGTTCACAACAGCTGCTTATCCAAAGACATTAACATCCACCTACCAGCCCTTATACAGCTTTCTTACATTATATACACTTTCAAGGTCATCTAATGTTCTTCTCACCTCTCCAGGAGAAAACACATTGTAAAGTCATTTTGCCTTTAATTACAGGTTGATACACTTAATCACAGTGAGAGAAGTTAATAAAAAATAGGGGTGATAGATGTTTTTGATATGCTAAAGCTGGGTCATTTACATAGCGCCAAATCACTACAGCGGTTGCCTCGAGGTGCTTTTTTTGG